AAATATTTTGAGATTCTCCAGTTATCTTTCTGCTACTGATATGCAGTGTAGTTCTACCGTGGTTGGAGAACATCCTTTGTATGACTTAAATTCTTTTAAATTTATTGATACCTGAAAACAAAACAAACAACAACAACAACAACAAAAATCACAATGAAATACTACTTCACACTCACTATAATGGCTAACATAAAAAAAGTAACAACTGTTGGCAAGGATCTGGGAAAACAAGAATTCTCATACATTGCTAGTGAGAACGTAAATGGTATAGCTGTTTTGGAAAAGTTTGGCAATTCCTCAAAAAGTTAAACATAGAGTTACCATATGACCAAGTAAGCGACTCCTAAGTACAGAGGGTGCTAAAAAAAGGTATATGTTTTAAGAAAGGAAAAAACTGTATTAAAAGTATCATAATATATACCAATGACAAAAGACGAATACAAGTCATGTTTGATGTCTGCAATTAAAAGAGGTGCTCAAAGTGGTTACCATCAGTGTCCAGACACTTCTGATTAGTGAATGAATATCTCTTAAAATGTGCATACTTTTTTTTGTTTTTTGAGTTGGAGTCTCAAGTTGCCCAGTCTAGAGTGCTGTTGCCCAGTCAGATGATCCTTCTGTAACCGGAACCACAGGTGCATGCTGCCACGCCTGGCTAAAATGTGTATACATTTTTTTGACAACTCCCCAGCATATATACCCAAGGGAACTGAAAGCATTGTCTACAATAGGGGTCCCCAACCCCTAGGCTATGGACGGGTATCTGTCAGGAACTGGCTGCACAGCAGGAGGTGAGCAAAACTGAGCAAAGCTTCATCTGTATTTACTGCCACTTCTAATGCTTGCATTACCTCCTAAGCTCCACCTGTCAGATCAGCGACATCATTAGAGTCTCACAGGAGTGCAAACCCTATAGTGAACTGCGCACACGAGGGATCTAGGTTGCACGCTCCTAATAAGAATCTAATGCCTGATGATGTGAAGCAGAGCTGAGGCAGTGATGCTAGTGCTGGGGAGTGACTGCAACTACAGAGTAACATTAGCGATGGGGTGCAAAGACCAAAATAAATTGCTTGCAGACTCATATCAAAACCCTATTACTGAGTGGCAAATGAGTCGATGCACTTCAGTTGTACAGATGCATCTGATGACAGACCAATTTGATACTTACTTTAGTCCGCACGTGGACTACCCAATATTTTATTTACCACTTCTGTTTGTGCTTTTTTGTGTGTGGTAAGCTGTATAATTATTTCATTATATATTACAATGTAATAATAATAGAAATAAAGTACACTATAAATGTTATGCGCTTAAATCATTCTGAAACCATCCCCCCCTCCGTCAGTCCATGGGAAAATCATCATGAACAAAACTGGTCCCTGATGCCAAAAAGGTTGGGAACTGCTGGTTTACACAAAAGTATGTACGTAAGTGTTCAGAGCATCATTATTCATAATAGTCAAAAGTTGGAGCCGGGCTCGGTGGCTCAGCCTGTAATCCCACGCCTTGGGAGGCTGAGGTGAGTGGATTGCCTGAGCCCGCGGGTTCGAGACCCGCCTGGGCAACTTGGTGAGACCTCATCTCTATAATAAATAAAAAAATTAGCCGGGCTTGGTAGCGTGCGCCTGTAATTCCAGCTACTTGGAAGGCTGAGGCGGAAGGATCGCCGGAGCCCAGCAGGTTGAGGAGTTGGAAAAAAAATAGTTGGAAACAGCCCAAATTTCCATCAGTTGATGAACAAATAAATGTGGTATATCTATACAATGGAGTATTTATTCAGTCATAAAAAGGAATAAAGTATTGATTCATGCTACAATATAGACAAACCTTGAAAACATTATGTTCAGTGAAAGGAGCCAGACACACAAAAAAGTCACATTTGTATCATTTCATTTACATTAAACATCCAGAATAGGCAAATCCATAGAGACAGAAAGTAGTAGGTTAGTGGTTGTTAGGGTTGGGGGATGAGGAGTGAGGGGTAACAGGTAGAGGACTTCTTTTTGGCATGATGAAAATGTTCTGGAATTAGCATACAACTTTGTGAATATACTAAAAAAATCACTAAGTTATGTACTTCATTATTTTTTGACTTGGGGGTCTCACTCTGTCATCCAGACTAGAGTACAGAGGCACAATCACAGCTCACCGCAGCTCAACCACCTGGGCTCAGATGATCTTTCTACCTCAGCCTCTCAAGTAGCTGGGACTACAGGTATACACCACCACACCCAGATTTTTTTTTTTTTTGATAGAGGCAATGTTTTGCTGTGTTGCCTAGGCTGGTCTCAAACTTTTAGGCTCAAGCAATCCTCCTGCCTCAACCTCCCAAAGTGCAGGATTATAGGCATGAGTCACCATGCCTGGCCTGAATTATGTACTTTAGAAGGATTAGTTTTATGGGACGTGAATTATATTCCAACTTTGAAAAAGTTCCTGTATTCTTATTCACTACACTCCTAGGAGGGGTGGAATTTCACTGAGGCTAGATGATATCAACATGCAAACAGACTATAGCAAAACAAAACAATTGTTAAAATAAACATACAGGCAGGGCTCAGTGCCTCAGCCTGTAATCCCAGCACTTTGGGAGGTCGAGGCAAGAGGATTGCCTGAGCCCGCGGGTTCAAGACCCCCGGGCAACTTGGTGAGACCTCGTCTCTGCAATAAATCAAAAACTAGCCCGGTGTGGTAGTATGCGCCTATAGTTCTGGCTACTTAGAAGGTTGAGGCTGTGGTGGCCGAGATCGTGACACTGCACTCCAGTCTGGTCGACAGAGTGAGACTCCAACTCAAAAATAAATAAAGAAATAAATAAATAAACAAACATACATATTTAAATGATTATAGTAGCAAAGAATAAGACGGGAGTGAAATTAAGAAAAAATGGCAATTTTTTTGCATTCTTGTATTCTATCTCTAAATTTGGGGGGGATAGGTAGAGAAAGATGGGCTATATATACCACCATTTGGTCCTTTTCTCTCAACAACTCTGATTAATCTTTGAAGCTGTCACCTCGGTTCACCAGATCACGGGAACTTTTCCTGCATAATTGGTAGCAAAGCTAATGGAACAAAGCTCTTGCTATGACTTTCAGCAACTCTTTTTTCAACAGGCGCTTCCCAAGAGTATGAAAAAGGAAGAAATGATTTGCAAATAATTAGAAAGAAGGCATTAACAATTGACATTTATATTTTAAAGATTCAGGCTTGAATCTGAATACCATGGCCTCAGGAATGTGATACTTAAAAAGTTCTGCAGGCCTAACTCCTTATCTGTGGGGTTGGAGGTACATGGAGAAGGCAATAAACCCATACCTCCCTAGAGAAGGCAGAGGAGAAATTGAGATTGCATTTGTGTGCGCACGTTGAGGGAAGATAAGTGACTCTACAGCAGAAGGAGAGGCTGCCAACAGTTTATTCATCCCCTCAAACATTATCGCTCTAGTAGCTGAAACCCTCTCCATAAAATTATCTTCATGTCCTGGCCCTCCTGGGGGAGGGGCAAGGCAGATCCAAATATTCTTTCTTTAACAATGAATCTAAAGCCACTTAGAAAAGGCCAGTTGAAGGCCAACATGGCTTCCATCTCCAGGGATCCCACCTCCCCCCACACCTCCCCCCACACCTTTCTCCTATACTACTTTCATAATGGCCCAGGGACCAGGGGGAAGTCCCTGATGATCATGGGACTTGCTTTAGAGGCAGCATCTATTGTAACACTGAAGGCTCATGATGCCTCTAGAAAGAGCCTCTGTCACTGTAAGAGTCTGGACGCCTCCCCACCCGACATCATCAACCAATCCACAGCCCCTGTCCTGGTCAAGTTGTAAGAGCAGGAAAGCCGGACTCCACTTCCAGTGTGACCATTACCTATTCTGGAATGGATAAAGTGTGGTTTTTTGTTTGTTGTTTTTTGGGTCAGTCTCACTCTGTCATCCAGGCTAGCGTGCAGTGGACGTTCATGGCCACTGTAGCCTCGACCTGCTGGGTTTAGGCGATCCTTCTGCCTCAGCCTTCTAGGTCGCTGGAACTACAGGTGCACGCCGCCACGCCTGGCTAATTTTTTTACTTATTGTAGAGATGAGGGCTCGCCATGTTGCCTAGGCTAGTCTTGAACCCTGGGCGCAGGCAGTCCTCTGGCCTCCGCCTCCCAAAGTGCTGAGATTACAGGTGAGAGCCACCGCGCCCAGCTGATAAAGTATTTTTAATTAGAAAAACTTAACTAGAAAAAGTAAATGTTCTTTCAGAGTCAAAAAGAACAGAAAGGAACTGAATGGAGAACTGGGAGAAGGTGGGAGAAATCAGAGCGGTGTGAAGAAAATGCAGCAGCTACTGAGAAAGCAATGGCACACGTGTCACCAGTCCACCCGAATGCCATCTGTCCAGCCAGGCTACCTTTGCTACATGAGCTGTGACTTGGTTTGACGATGCCCTAGCAGAGAGCCCTGATAAACTTCTACTGCCCTTGAGAGCGCAGATCATCAGTCTGCGTGTGTAGGCGCGTAGGCCCCACTGGTGCAAAAGACCAGCAGCAGCAATCTGACGTTCACGCGACCGAAACCGACGTCGACGTGACTTTGACCGACCGCGCAGCGCTTCCGTTCTCAGGGCTCCACGTCCACCTTCGCCCAGCAGCCACCAAGCAGCCCGCTTTCTGCCGGGCACACGTGTCAAAAGCGTGTCCTGCCGGTGCGGTGGCTTCATGCCTGTAATCCCAGCATTTTGGGAGGCGAAGACGGGCGGATTGCCTGAGCCCAGGGGTTCGAGACCAGCCTGGGCAACTTGGCGAGACCTCGTCTCTACCTTAAATCAAAAAAAGTAGCCCGATATGGTGGTGCACGCCTGTGGTTCCAGTCACTTAGGGGGCTGAGGGAGAGCCCCCAGCAGGTTGAGGCTGCGGTGGCCGTGAGCGGGCCGCTGCACTCCAGCCTGGGCGACAGAGACTCCAACGCGTTCTGCTCCCGCACTCAGGACCGAGGTGTGTCTCCACCTACCTGAGTGTACTTGCGGAAAAACACCCCCTGCACCTTCCCGAAAATCTCATAATCCACCGAGATCAAGGTGTCCCCTTCGGCCATGCTCGCACCTGCCGGAACCAGGAGAGCACGAGAGTGAGGGCCCGGCCGAACCCGGTCCTGGGAGGGAGCTGCCACACCTGCCCTCTCCCCGCCTCCCCACGCTGCCTCCCACCTCAGGCCCGGAACTCGGCATTGGGGGCGGCACCGGAAGGCGTCTGTGGGAGGTCCCCGCGTGACGCCGGGCGGGTCGGATCGCGCCCACGAGGCGTCTTGGGGTTCACCTGCTCCCCAGGCACCACCGGCACCCACGCCGGCCGCTCCCGCCAGCCGACCCCCTCTTCGCGCCCCAGGCCCCTGCTACCCACATGCCAGCCTACGCGAACTGACTCGCGCGGCCGGGCTCTCCCCCCTCCTCTCCCCCCACCCGGCTCACCCCTCGCGTCTCCGCTCGGCCACCAAGACCCGCTGAAGCCCCCAGCCAACGGCCGCTCCCGTGCCAACAGCCCGCCCGGAAGTCAGGAGTGCGGCTCCTCCTTGGCTGTCGCTCGTGCCCATCGTCGTCAGGCCGCCAATCAGAGACGCGCTCGGCCCCGAGCCCGCCCAGAGGGTGGGGCTTCAGGACAAGGCCGCCGCAGCCAGGCTAGCCAGAAGGGGGATCACCCCCCCCAGGGGTCGGCTGGGCGGCCACAGAGCAAGCCCCGCCCTTCACTCGGCCCGGGTTCGCCTGTTCTTGTGGGGACAAGGCCCAGACGAAGAAGCGCTGGGGATGCGTTCAGCCATTCAGCCATTCCGTAACTGAATGGCATTCAGTTATTCGCTCCCAGTGACAGGAGACATAGTAAGCAAACAGGGTTCCTGCCCTGGAAAGCTCACATTCTGCACGTGGGGACAGAGGATACATTTCTTTTATTCTTTTAGGGACGGGATCTTGCCATGCTGCCCAGGCTGGTATCCAACTACTGGCCTCAGGCAATCCTCCCCTCAGCCTCCCAAAGTGCTGGAATCACAGGTGGGAGCCTCCGCGCCTGGCAGACAATACCCCTTAAACATCACAAATAATACATGGAATATGGACATATACGGCCTTTCTGTTCTTTTTCCTCCAGTTTTCTGCCCCCCACACACCCCCACACCCCTCCGTTTTGGATCTGCCTCATCAAGAATTGGCTGCAGGGGAGCTAAGCATACCGGAAGTCTCCACGGAGGCGGTTTCTTCTGGGCTGGGCTTCTGGAGGCTGCCCACCAGTCGACCTCACAAATGTGTTCAAACCAAACAACAGTTGAGCACATCGCTTAATAGAGCACAAGCAAAGTAACTCGAGGCTCTGGAATCACAGCTGAATCAGGCGCTCTAACGCAAATGACCAAGTGGCATGAATTTGTTTTGGGAAAAGGGAATTGTCAAGGGAAGTTGTGGCTAAAATCAGGATGGCTAAAATCAGAGTGGACTTGACTCCTTTGACTCCTGCCACCCCCTTGATGAAGATGTGTGTTAGGTTACAACACAATCCCAGCGGAGCCTTCAAAATGTTAGGTCAGACCCTCACAAGGGGAGGGGAGGGTGGTCTGAGAACTAGTGCCATGTAAGATGCAAAGAATTGCACAGAAGTTAGATTCGAAAATATAGTTTATTTTAAAAGTAAATTAGCCGGGCAGGGTGGCTCAAGCCTGTAATCCCAGTACTTTGGGAGACTGAGGCTAGAGGATTGCCTGAGCTCAGGGGTTCAAGGCCAGCCTGAGCAACATGGCGAGATCTCTTCTCTACAATAAAAAAAAATTAGCTGGCTGTGGTGGCACATGTCAGCTACTTGGAAGACTGAGGTGGAAGGATCACCTTGAGCCTGACAGGTCGAGGCTGCAGTGGCTGTGAGTGTGCTATTGCATTCCAGCCTGGGCAAGAGTGAGATTTCTATTCAAAACAAAAAGTAAATTAGAGACAGAGGGAAAGGACTCACTCCCCAAGGTAGGAGAGGGGGCCAAAGCTAAGAAAACATGGCGGCCATAGCTCAAAGAACACACGGCCTGGCCAGAACTTTTTTCTTTTGAAGTGACTTTATTCAATTTGCCTTTCAGAAAGCTCACTCAGTTCTGGCCAGCACTTAGGGAAAGCAATGGCCAATGGCTGCTTGAGGTCGAATGCTTTTAAACCTTCTCTTTGGGCCTAGCACAGTGGCTCAACCAGTAATCCCAGCACTTTGGGAGGTCGAGGCGAGAGGATTGCCTGAGCCCGGGGGTTCGAGACCAACCTGGGCAACTTGGTAAGACCTCATTTCTACAATACATCAAAAAATTAGCCGGGTGTAGTGGCGTGCATCTGTAGTTCCAGCTACTTGAAAGGCTGAAGCAGAAGGATTGCCTAAGCCCAGCAGGTCGAGGCTGTGGTGGCCCTGTGCATGCCACTGCACTCCAGCCTGGGCGACAAAGTGAGACTCCAACTCAAAAATAAAATAAAATAAAAACTTTCTCTTTGATGGGGGGCAGGTCGTTACAGTGATTGGGTGGTGGTCTTTTCTATGTCATCACGAAGGGGTCAGGTAAACACGGGTACTGACATCTGGATGATGGACAGCAGGCAGATGGGTGGGTTAGTCACATGACAGTTGCCAGTTGATGGGGTCTGTCACAAAGGTCATGAAGGGCTGATTAGCTTAACTTGTTTCTTATGCAAATACTTGGAATAGAAAAGCTAATTATTACAAAACAAGCTGGGGAGAGGGTAGTAAAACAATTATCAATAACTGCCTCTGAGGAATTGGTTCTGTCCTTGGCTAGTGATTAGAGGGTAAGTTAAAATGAACTGCTAGAGAAATATGACAGAGCTAGGCAATATTAAAATGGCTGCTCATTGGGTATAGTGACACCATCTTATGTCCTTTCAATGTGTATGAAGGAAAACTGCAGTACTTACTGGTCCTCTGTGGACCACTCACATTCATGACCCATACCTCAGACCCCCTGTGTGAACGTGCCAGGGTGGCCACCTTGGCAAGGCGACATGGGTTGGCTGTGGTAGCCATGGAAAGCCATCACTCCACTAGTTTCCACCACAGAGGGAGCGTCCATTTCCTGCAGGATCATGGAACCCCAGGGCTGGGAGGCGGGAGTGGTGAGTGGGCTGACCGGGTGCTGTGCTTGGAAGCCTCGCTAAACACAATACCTGGCTGGCAGGGTTCCTTTCTCTAGAATTCACTTCTCCCAGCTAGCCAGGAGTAAAAAATACATGAAAAATAACAGTTTCTCTACAGGATTCACAATCTACTGAGTGTCTAATAGGAGACACTGTAGAATATACAAAGATGAATATGTCACGCTTGCCCGCAAAGAGTTTTTAATTGAGTGTAAGGGACAAATAAGCATGCAAATAATGACAATGAAATTCACAGATAGTAACTTCATTCCAGATTGAGAGCTCATATTATGAAGGGGCAAAGAGATTAATTCTGGCTGGGAAGAGGCAGCATTTAATCCAGGGTTACACAAGCATAACCAGCAAGTGATGGAGGTGGGATTTGGTTCCAGGCAGTCAGTCCAGGGTCCAGTCCCATAGATGCTGTGTTCCATCACTTCCCAATTCGTGGAGCAGAGGGTAAGGTAGCAGCACTAAGGTGAGGGAGTAGGTGGTCAGCTGTGACTAGATTAGGGTTTCTCAGTCTTGGTTGCACATTAGGACCTTTGGGAAAGTTTTAAAAAATACTGATGCCTAGCTGGGCATGGTGGCTCATGCCTGTAATCCCAGCACTTTGGGAGGCTGAGGTGAGAGGACTGTCTGAGCCCAGGGGTTCAAGATCAGCCTAGGCAACATGGTGAGACCTTGTCTCTACAATACAAAAAAAAAATTGTCTGGGCTTGATGTCACATGCCTGTAGTTCCAGCTACTTGGAAGTCTGAAGTGGAAGGATTGCCTGAGCCCAGCAGGTTGAGGCTGCAGTGGAGTGCCACTGCCCTCCAGCCTGGGTGACAGAGTGAGATTCCAACTAAAAAAAAAAAAAAAAAAAAAAAAAAATATATATATATATATATATATACACATATATATGTATACACACACACACACACACACACACACACGCACACATGCACACACACGCCCAGGGCTTGCCCCCACGTATTGCTTTCCAAGTTGTCTTAATGCATAGCCAGGGTTGAGACCAATTAGGCTGGACTCAGGCTTATTAAGGAGGCAGGGCTGGAAAGGTAGGCTGAACCTAATCTGAGGGTAGAAATGCCATGCTAGCTGGGCTCGGTGGCTCAGCCTGTAATCCCGCGCCTTTGGGAGGCTGAGGTGAGTGGATTGTCTGAGCC